TGACTGTAGTTCTTCTGATCTATGTTTAAGAACTGGAAGGGGCCATTTGTGGCATCAAGTCCAACCCTTGCTCACTGCAGAAATCCAAACTAAAAGCATCCCCAGCAGAGAGTTGTCTAGCCTCCACCTGAACTCATCCAGTGAAGGGGAGTCCACCATTTCACTGTATAATTGGTTTCATAATGAACTCTTCTTACTGCTGGGAGGTTTTTCCTAACAGTTAACAAGAACCTGCCTTTCAATAACTGAAATCCATTATTTTGTGTCCTGCTGTTTGGAACAATACAGAATATTGACCGTCTGAGTGACAGCCTTTTAAGTACTTGAAGAATGCTATTCTGTTCCCCAATCTTCTCAAGACTCAACATAGTCAGCTCCTTCAACCTCTCTTTATAGGAGTTAATTTCTAGTCCCTTCATCATCCTCACTGTCCTTCTCTAAATCTGTTCCAATTTGTCTGAATAATTTCATACTTATGGAACAAATCTTCATCCCAGCGTCATTCCCATTAAGCCAAGTAAAATCTAGTTTAGCCATTCACACCTTAGTATCCGTTTGATGTTTAACAATGTACCTATATTCAGGTCACAAGCAGAACTTCCTAAAATATTTTCTTACGCATTTCTGAATGTTTCTATTTTTGATGCAAACATTTATGCCTTTTTTAACACAAGAGGAAGGCGGAGATAGATACCAGCCACTTTCTTTTTCTAAGAGTAGCACTGTTGCCAAGCAATTGCAATTGATACTCACATACAGTAAGTAGACAAAAACAACACAGATCTATGCATTTAGGACTTTATTCAAATAGTACTGATAACTTTCAGTGGGGTGGCAGGGGAAGGAGAGAAAACTCCTATATATACAGTATGTATTTTACTCTTATTCTGGAGACAAATATTCCTTCCTGATAAAAGAAACTGCAATTCAGAACTGACAAAATGTATGAATGCTAAATCCCATTAAATTCACTGGACATACAGACTAATACAAAGGTTTGATTACAATATATTCCACAAGGGAAACACAATCCTTAAATATCTTCATAAAACAGTAACTAAAACTCACAGTCCAAACCTTTGCCCAAATTGAGAATTTTGATTTTAATATCCTGGTCTTACCAGAGCAGCCTCAGTTGTCTTTCACCATTTTAGAATAAATCAGACTGAAAAAAAAATCTTGCATATCAATTATTTCATATCACAGAAAAAAGGAGAGTTATGTAATTCACTCAAGACATTTGTATTTAATAAAGAAAATACTTGAGACTGTTTTTCAAGATCAAAGTGACCTCCATGTGGAAATTATTTTTAATAAGTTCTTAACATTGTAAACTTGATTGGGTTTTGCTTAGCAGACCCATTGGGCCAAATATTGTAATCTGAACTGTGCTGGTGGTGACAGCAGTGACCAAAAGTTCAATCCTCTCTCAGAGCTAAAATTCCAAGAGAAATTCTAAATCTAGGCAAGATGTCTATTGTATTGCAGCATAAGTGCTTCAGGCATGCACAGCGATGTAACAAAAATTAAAATATTTGAGTACAACCTCTATCTCCTGAGAATTCAAAGGGCAGCAGCTATAGAAGACAACCACGCACCATGGTTGTAGAACATCAGTGGGCCACTGAGCAGGCCACACTGGTCATGTGTCCCCCTCCAACGATGTCCAAAACATGTCTTCAGGAAGTCCACAGCAATGGTATGAAAACAATCACCGCTTATCACAAAGTGACCCTGACCCTAGATGGTCAGGACAGTGCCAACTCCGTTTGTGTTCAGGAAATCTGCCAAACCCTGGTTGTTCTGGAAAGTCTTTGGGGACCTATGGTGCAGCAGGTCCTCTTCCCGCAATAGGTGAACATTGTTGCCAGAATTGTTTTCTTTGGTGCCAGTGGTTATTGTATTGTGATTGGGTTTGGTTATGTTTTCTTTTAATTCTTCTATTTTTGTATCATTTGTAAGCTTCTCAGAGCCTTTTTGGAACTGAGAGGCATATAATTCATAATAAAGAGATAAATTAAATATGTTTATACCTTGTCAAAGGAAACGTTGCTGGTCTAGGGCTTTTCAGTTGGGAATTGACCCAGGATTGCTAAAAAATGACCACTAACTTGAGGGACTCCACAAGTATTTAAGAGAAAGTCCAAGGCTTTAGGAAAGTTGAGAGCAAAGGAGTAAGTCTAAAATGTAACACATTTCATTACCTGAAGAGGAAATACCTGGATTCATATTTAATTCCTCTGCTCTGAGAGAAGGACATATTCTTGCCCAATTCAAGACTAAGCTACAATATCAGCTTTCTCCAAGGTTTCCTATAGACTGGTCCTATTTTTACTTTGACATACAGTACAGAATGAAAGAGTCCAAAGTTGAGCAAACAGCATCTATCTATAAATTAATCTGAGCTATGGAATGTTGAAAGCATCAACATAAAACAAAGGCAGAGAAGAAAAAAATCCCTTTCATAAGCAAATGAGCACATTTATAGTAGATTGGGGAAGGAATTAAACTGCATTTTTTAATCTTTTATATTTTCAGTGATATCAGAATACCTAAAAGCAGAAACACAGAAGCATATCCCAAGACACCATAATTTATAAATACATTCATAGATTTAATCTGAATTTTATGTAATCTGGTTTGAATTTCCACGGCATTATGCAATTCATAGAGGCAAAATAACAGGAAAAACCTTCACAGCACCATTTTCCAGCTGTTATCACTGTTGCAAGTATCCCCCAAGTTTTTCCTGTCATTTGCTTCCTGATGCCGCAGACTTGCAGACTTGGGGGATACTTGCAACAATGTACAAGTGTATTCTCTTAGAAAATATAGCATCCTGAAACAAGTTTAACTTTGTGAAGCTATGGGAGGGCCTTAGTGGACAAAGAGCTTACAAATATTACAAACATAAGACCTAATACTTAATCCTTCCAGGGGACTATGCAGTTGTGTTCAGTTTTCCATGAATGTGAGAGCAGGAAGTTCAGGGTGGAACAAACTGTCAGAGAATCACAGTTCCAACCAGGAGCTGAGAATCATGCTTCTCTTCTGCAAAGTCTCTCCTTAATGCTCCCTCTTCCCGTGCCATCTACTTTCTCTAGCCCAGGAAATTCAAGGTGGGACATAATTTAGTTTTAGTTATAGCTATTAATGCTGTGCACACTTCAAATAATAAGAGATGCTTTGGTCCTTAAACAAGCTCAGCACTTCTCTGATAATTCACTATACTAGCCCAATTTTTTCAGCCTTCTGCAGAAGCATTTTTGGTTAGGCTTAAATAGAATTCTGAAAAAAAAGAAGTGGCTGTTTTAATGAATAGCAAAGAGGTGCTGTGTTCTTGTGAGTTCCAAAGTACTTCTTCCAAATCCTTACTGAAGCATGCATAGCCCTAAAACATATTATCCAACAGCCAAATAATATATTGGCATATGAAGACTAAACGAAACAACAAAAGAAGAGTATATTCCAGACAAACATTTAGAATTAGGAGAGCAAGCAATCTGCAGCTTATGAACAAGTATTTCCTGAGGGTCCCAATAGCTAGATAGCTTTTAGAAGTGCATACAAACTTCTTCTCAATGTATGCATGTATGTGTCTGTGTGTAAATCTTTAGCAAATGTATATGTATGTATGTGTGCATGTATATTTCTTTAGCAAAAAGAAAAGCAAATTGAGAGATCAGCAATCCTGTTCAAATAGCAGGCTGCTTCAAATCTTAGTAGATGAAGAGCTGTGAGACATCTGGACGTTGCATCATATAAAGACTTAGTTGACTCGAGCAACTCTGGAAATGGAACGGACAGAGCTAAGGAAGTTGAACATGGTGGTCACCAGATCTGGAAGATCGAAATCATGTTTCCATCCCCAATCTTCACGAGCATTGTTGTCATCCAAAATCATTGGCCAACTGTCAGCTATGACAAAGAAAGAAAGAAAAACACATAGATTAAATCAAAGACAAGGTCCTTGGGCTTTTAAAGTCCAATCCAAGAATTCCCCTTTTTTCCCACTTAGGGAGAGTAACTTCAGGAAGCAGCAATCTTCAAATAGAGATGTTTGGAAAGGGAAGGAAGAGATGCCAAACTCTCTTCTAATACACTGTGCAAAAAAAGCGACTTCTGCTGCAAGAATTTCTTCCTCACTGGAGATAGAATATATTGTTTAAGGTATCTGCATGCATATTTATGAGCTTTTAGAACCCAGCCATTACAATCCCATTTGAAAGTCACCCCCTTTCAAGTTATTAGGTAGAAAATCTAGCTAAGTTTTAAATATACACTTTGGCACAAATATTGAGCTTATATCTTATATGAACTCCTGAAAATGTATAAAAGAGAAACCCTTAAAACAAAAGGCAAAAGCTGACTTGTTGCAGCTTAGGATTCTTTTTTTTTTAATAAAAAAATATTTACAGTAGCTGAGGTCCATCTATGTTAACTGGTGCAATTAAACAGCTTAAAGTCTTTGCTAGGCCTAGCATTAGAATTCCTCACATCTTATACACCTTGTTAAAAAAAATCTCTGAACCAGATTCAAAGAACAAACTGGTACCCAATCCACCCAGCCCACTGTCATATTGTATGAAAATACAGGATGAAAACATACAACATTGTAAAAGCCCAAAGCCAGGTACTAACCAATGGCTTGCCTAACAGGATCTACGTTGTAGACAACTTCAAGTTCTGGAATATGCTTCTGGACCTCTTGAACCAGCTCCTCAGGTGTAAAACTCATGGCACTGATGTTGTAAGTCCTCATGCTCAGCTGCTCGGCAGGTGTTTCCATGATCTCCAAAGAAGCTCTAAGGCAGTCATCAATATACATCATTGGCAAGCAGGTATCTGGTTTAAGATTGCATTGGAACTTTCCAGTCTTGATAGCATCATGGAAAATTTGGACAGCATAATCTAGCAGAAGAAAAGATGGCAGCACACCTGGTTCAGTTGGTATAACACTAGCTGAAACCCCAGTCATGTATAAAAGAGCAGACTATCAATATGTACCAACAAAAGGTAAAATGAAAGGATGATGCTTAGAGGAGTAGTTTAATATGATACACATAGAAAATTTAAAAGGAACTAACATAATTAAAATAGAGGTGAGTCTTTTGGTGTGCCTTTTGTGGCCCAGGGCCAAACTACATCTATTTATATTATTCATGTAGTTTTTAAAAGAAAAATGCATAAAAGTATGTTGAAGAAAAACTGTCACTTTAGTCCCTGGTCTGGAATAGATTCCTCATCAAAATCTGAGCATCCTGGTGGCCTCTACCAGCAAGTTTTCATTCCCAGGAGTTGAGAAATGAAGATTAAAGGTAGCCACCAGAGAGAGAAATAAGGACTAACTAAAAAATAATTTGAGAAAGGGGGAAAAGCCAAGATGGCAACAAACTAGCAGCTCCTGAAATAAGCTCCCGGCTTGTGACTGGCCTCACCCCTTCTGGCTCAACCCTACAACCCAAAAATGCCATCCAGAGGCAAGAGGAGAAACCAGACCAGCCACAGTAATGATGCTGTGGCCCATAAATCCAATAAAGCAGAGAAACAGATGAGGACTCCTATCTCAACACCACAGAGACAAAACAAAATGCAAGTAACAGATCTACAGCTTCAGGATCGCCTTCACCCCAAAGAATATGACAACACAGAAGCCAGTAACAAGACAGACCTCCCTCCTGATCCTCCAAAACCTCAGCCCAATCACTCCCCAGAGCAGGGGGGTTGCAGAGATAAGCTCCTGGAACAAGTCTCCTGCACTCCTCACAACTATATTATTCCACCTTTCCATGAGGTCTGCCTTTTGTCTGCAGAAACTCTGCAGAAACTTTGTCTGCAGTCAAAGTAGACAGCTTCCCACAAGCCCTTAATCTGCAAATCTTCCATGGCAATCAGAGGGTTAAAATGGCAGAAGCTGCCTGCCTTGGCATTCCGGCAGCCTGCCCTGTGACATCAACAGGGTGTCTGGAAGCAGCTGATTCAGCCAATTACCGCCGTGTGTTACAGAAATAATTTGAGAAGCACCCAGTAACTCCTCCTCTGCATTAGTAGTCTTTTTGCCTCCCACCCCCTGCCCAGTTTCTCTGACTGCCTGTCAAGGACCTACAGAGCTCTCAGCAAAAGAATGGCTTTTGCATGAAAAATGAACACACAGTCACAAACGTAAGCAGAACTCCTTACTTTTCCTGTGGCTCTGCCTTTATATTTTACTGGCTAAATTAGTCCCCTGCCAATATAAAAATAAAATATTAAATTGCAGCAGCTTTCTTACCAGTTGTTCCTCCACCTGGCTGGGAATCAGCTGAGATAATGCCAGGATACCTTAGACACCGGAAATCTAGCCCATACCTATAATGATAGTACTAACACACACACACAAACAATTAAAAGGAGAAGAGAGAAAGAAATAAGAGGCACCATTAATTATGATCAGTGCCAAGGTAAACATAGTTACTTGTTGCAAATCAAAGCTTTATATGCTATATTTTTGAGATTGATTGCTAATATAAAATAGTATATTTTAAGAGACAACATTCACTGTAAAAAAATAACCATTCATAGTGAACGGTTCAGCTCTCATTAAAACCTGATACGATGTGAATCTCTAGTATCCAAGAGCTCCAGATAAAACCTTGCTCCCAGTCATGTTAACTTCCCTGCAGGCATTTGTGGTCATATAAATTGATTGCTTGAATGAATAAATAAATTGCACATTTCATTGCTTACATCTTCAGAAAATCTGTATTAGCTTCCATGGGATCCAGGACCTTAATAAAGGTCTTGATTTATGTGGAAGCAAACATACATGCAGCAGTTGAAAATGCACCCAGAAAGTGGCAGAGGGCAAACCAGATTAAATGAAACCAGAAGCATGAAAGCTAGCGAGCAGAAGGGAGGATTGTTTCTGGCCAAAGGGGTAGTGAAAGAGAATTGGCTTTGGAGAGCAGGAATACTGTGGAGGCCATTATGTGATGTCTTCTTGGCTGCATTCTGATCTCCAAATCCAAAGAAAGAATCTAGTGCAGGGTTTCTCAATCTTGGCAACTTTAAGAGCTGAAGTCCGCACGTCTTAAAGTTGCCAAGGTTGAAAAACCCTGGTCTAGTGGAAACTGCAATAGCTTGCCAGGGAAAGATTGAAGAATCCGTCTCAAGAAGCCACGGATTCATTGTGATACTGGAGAAAGACTATTTAGCTTCAGTAACACCAGAAAACTTCTGTTTCTACTCTCTGGGTCATTCTAAAAAAGCTAACTGAAGTAGAGTTGTAGCACATGCGTTTTATTTAAGAAAATGAACTGGTTAATGTCCCTGTGGTTTTCTTGGCAACATTTATGGCTTGCCAGGGACTGGAAGAGAATGCATGACTGGCTCAAAATCATGCAGCTGGCTTTGTGCCACAGGACTAGAACTCATGGTCTCCCAGTTTCTAGCCTGGTGCCTTTAACCATGACACCAAACTAGCCTCAAAGTGATCATAGTCAAGTAATACTATAGAATAAAAACATATTAATCCAAAGTAAGGATATGTTCTTTCCATTTCTAGAACACACTATCTTGCTACAATAATGCTGATGTATATTATAGCTGTGTTCATGTGTGCTGAAGGTTTACTTCAGTTATTTAAGATGGCAATAAAAATTCAAGGGTCTGAAATGGATTTAGCTACCAATCTTTCTTCTGTTTACTGTAACAGAGGACTAACTGATAGCTTGAAAGTTCAGTGGGATATCAATTGCCACATGTGTGTAGCATTTTTGCCAAACTTTTAGGGATTATGTCCAGATTTAAGAAATCCAGTAATTCACATTTTGATATTATTTTATACAGTATGCTGACTCCTATCCACTTGAATCTAGACAGAATCTAATGACCAACAATGCTGAAAAAATATATTGTTCTTCAGTATTTACCAGTTTTGCTCAACATACTAAGCCTTTTGGCACTGTGGCTACTAAAAGCTCACTTCTTAATATGCCTACTAATCTTTAAGGTACTTGCTGCTGTTTAATTTCTCTTGTAACTGAAACACATCTGCAAAGACTAAAGTTAAGAGAGTATCAGTGCAAAAACAATAACAACAAGCCATAAGAAACCTCCAATATTTGTTTATTTAATTTATGGTTTTAGGCTAATATTTCAATGGTACAGGAAAACTCAAAACCTAGTTATAAGAAGAAAAATGAAAGAAAAATTCAGCTAGGGGCTTTTGTAGCATTTCCTATTTATATGTGTAAACATGAAAAAAACAAGGCAATTCTTGTAACAAAATGCTTATTCTTACCTCTCCCATAAGTTCGGCATGAACCTTAGAGACTCCATAGATTGTCCTTGGCCTTTGGATGCAGAGATCAGGAGTTGGATTCCTAGGGGAAGTTGGTCCAAAAGCCCCAATTGTGCTGGGAACAAAGAGTCTCAAACTATGCTCAGCAGCTATATCAAGAATGTTGTGCAGTCCTGGGAATAGCAAACAGAGTTGTTAGACCCCCAAACCAAAAAACAAGACTTCTAGAGTGAGGTAGGAATATCTAAACAAAAATGCTAAATACGTTGAGAGATACCAGTGATATTCACAGATCTTGCCAAAGGGACGTTGGCTTCTCCAACTGCACTGAGCAAAGCACTGTAATGAAATAGCCAAGTAATCCTGTTGTTCACCACTATCTCACGAAGATTCTTGTAATCCAAAATATCAGAGTAGATGAAAGGACCTAAGGAGAAAAAAGAAGGGTTAAAACCACCTGAGCTGTGATGAAGATGTCAACAGCTTGTAGATTCAGTTAATGGCATCTTTATTTTGAGAAGGAATTTGCTGAATGCATTATGATCTCAAGAATTTCCAATTCCATGTTCTTTATGGATCACTACATTTGTAATACAGTAGCATGTACAAATATGTAGGATGTGCAAATGCATGACGTGTGTATCCATGAACACACTTCAGTTGCTGCAGGGCTTTGATACATTTGGAATGAATTTCATTTTATCTAGGGCAGATTACATAGTTTGAAGACCTATGAACATCTGCAAAACTATTTCAACCAAAAACCATGACAAGATAAAAAAGGCATTTAGCATATACAACAAGAACAAGAGCTTCCGTAACCCTCTGAAAAAGCTATGCATTGTCACGGTGTGAGAGGGACCTTAGAAAGACAGATCTTACTTAATGCAAAGATTATGCTTGTTTCAAAGAACAGCTTTTGCTTTAATTTCTTTGCTTCCAAAAGAATATTACTATGTCAGACCACTTATACCATCCTTAAACAGAATTTCAGACATATATTTTAAAAAATTGCACAACACATCACTTTATAGAGCATACAACACTTGGGGTAGAGAGCTCATTTCAGTGAGTTATAGCATTCAAAGGAGGCATGGTGGAGATAGAATCATGCTGGTTGGCCAAAACTGAGGTTGACACAGCGATTGAAACACTGCTTTAAATATGTATTTGCTGTGTGGAATGTCACAGAATTTTCTTTTACATATCCTCTGTCATATTTAAAACTCAGGCAATGAGTTAGCAACACCCCAATTAGGTTAGGTCAAATTAATCACTTAAGATAATGACAGGTTTGTTTTCTTTAACATACACACTAATCTCCTATCAAGCAATTTTTGCAAGGTTTCTGAAGAACTGCAAGAACCCAGAGACAAAAACAATAGTAGTATGATCAAATTGTGTCTCATGATGCTCTATTGCTGCCAAGCCATAATGTACTCTATCATATTGTTGCCTCCCCAGCACAGAACCAATTAAACAGTGTATATAACATTATGTTTCCTGTTCTCATTTCTTATGGCTGGTTTATCACAAAAATAACAGAACCAGTTTAGCTGCTATTGCAGCAACCTCCAGAGAATATTTTGGGAATGCTAAAAATATCATGAACTCAATTCATCTTTCATTGTGGGCAACACTCACTGCCTGAAAGAGGGGGAAAAGCTGGGGAGGAACTTACAAGCTTGCATCATATACTTCAAGGATGATTGTAAGGATTAATATCCAAAAGCCCAAGGTTTAACTGAAAGAAAATCTCCTTGTAGAAAAGAACAAAAACTCCTAGAATATAAACACTGAATATTTCTCTTAGTTTAATATGGTACTTACCACTATAGAAGACACTATCAGGGGGCTTTCTAATATCTGACAAAATCACATTGTTCTTTCCAAAGCGTTTTCTAGAGAAAACACCACAATTAATGTTGCATATTGATTTTGAACTCAGCTCTTAGAATAAACCTATTCTGGTATACGAGATGCACCTTTTAATCCATACTTTCTGCACTCCGTAATACTGATGTTGTCAACCCTTCCCCCATCACCCCCCAAAATAAGCATAGCCAACTAGGCATAGATTCACTTACCATTTTCTATGATAAACCTATTATTGTATTATTTTCTTCTTCCACCCCACCTCCCCCAAAATAGGGTCAACATGATATATTACCAAACCAATGCCTCGTCTCTATCTGCTCATCATAGATGCAAGGAAACATGAAAATGCACAGGAAACTCTATAATCTTTTTTAAAAGATACCAGAGCTTCTTATTATTAACAGAAGCAATGAAAATTAATGCTTACCTTAACAACTTAGCAAGTCCTACTCCAAGCTGGCCTAGTCCCCCTGAAAAGCAAGAGTATAATGTATGTAAGTTATAGTTGGAAATCTTTTTTTATTTAAAACTCATTTATAAGGACCATCTAAGATGATGGCGTGTGTACAGGAGATGTTGATGTTCCTAGAAAATTTTTCACAGAAAAGTTTAGTAGACTGATTAAACCTTAGCACTTTAACAGATGTAAATTACTGAAAATGGCTGAACTGAATTACCTTTTCTATATATAAGATGCCTTTCAGGGTCATCTGTCTATACTATGAGGCAACATTTAGTACTGTAGGCATATGGTGCCCATCATACATTAGCTTGGGCTGATGGAAACTGAAGTCCAAAATATTTGAAGGGGATCAAATTGGGGAAGTAAGTTATAAGGATTCCAGTAAATAGAACAAGCCCCGAATCACAGTGTCAAGTGTACAGAAATAGTTATGGAAAGGCAGCTTGAAAAGAGATTGTTTTAAACCCATGTGAAAGTGTTGCTACAGGGGCTAAGCAAGACACCACTGTGAATTGTGAGCGATAAGAGTAGCAACCACCTTATAAAAGACAAGCATCCTTATTTTCTAGGTCTCTGGCTCTAGGAGAAAATGATCTGTAATGCACAAGAACCAGATGGGAACTAGATTCTCTATTTCCAAAGCCCTATTGTTATCTAGAAGTGCTTTGGGAGCAAAGCTTCTGTTCTTTAGTTATGGAATTGCTATAGCCTGGATTAAGCGGAAGAGCTGAACCACAGCATGAAAAAAAATTGGGCTCCAACTCATTTAAGTGCCACACAAATCTAGTGTTTAAATAGAAATCAAATGAATATCAACTCACATGGTTGTATACAATTAGTAAAGAATAAATTAAAACACCACACACGAAAACAATTCTGAAGTAGCATCTAAAAATTGGGCTGACCTGTAATTAATACCCGTGGATGATCAGTTTCTGAAAAAGATACTGAATGAAAGCTGGCATCTGATGGCACCTGCCGGGGTGAGATACCAAGACATCTGACAGGCACAAGAGCAACCTGACAACCACAGCCAGGTTTGTTCAACAGATGCTTGAAAGCATGGCTCAAATTCCTGATCACAGGCATTTTTCAAGTGTCTGGAAAAGATAAAGAAAGGAAGTCCTTGAGTAGTTGTTTCATCAATGCAAAATGCCCAGTTTGGTTTCTGAAGTTCTAGGAAGGTACCAATAATTCTCCTGATAAAAAATGACAGAACATAAACAGCAGCTCTGTCAGCTGCAGCACATAATATGCTCTCCAGCCATCTCCTCTGATGCTACCAGATGCCCCGCCCCTCTTGATTTTTAAAAATATAATCTAAATAAATAAATGGGATGCTGGCAAACTCCAAATGTAAACCAGTATCTAAAATCCTATTTATTACCTGCAATGTCTTTAGGATTCACAATGTTCTCACTAGAATGACATTTGAGCATATTTAGAAACTAGTTCTCCTAATATATGGGAAGGTTGTAAATAGCCATGCCATTCTTGCTGTTATTTTATATGGGTCAACCTCACACTCCCCAAACTTCAGATGTGTCCTGGCACTAAAGATTGCCTACTCTTGGTATTGATGAACCCTTCCCAATTTGAAGCTGTTCAGACACATTCAGCAATAATTCCCATAATCTTCAACCACAAAGCCACTGCTGAGTTGGCTGGGGATGATGGGAATTGCCCTTGCAACACATCTGAAAAACACCAGATTAGGAAAGGTGACTGTAGATTAGAGATGAGCAAGACCCTTAATTATAGATCCCAGAAACTGCATTGCTGAATTTCAGCAAAATTACCCTTGGTGGCCAAAACACATCATAGATTATTTGAAGTATGACTGATCCAATGCAGATAATACTGGAAGTTCCCATCTATCTATCTATCTATCTATCTATCTATCTATCTATCTATCTATCTATCTATCTATCTATCTTCTGATTATTTGTTAAAAACATAACTGCAATGATAATAAATTCTACAGAGCAGCACTCAATGATACCAATTAATGTGGTATGTTCCACAGGCAATTTCCATAAATTACAGCCATCCTATTAAGGCTGCCAAATATTCACATAACTTCTGTGAAAGTGTTGCATCTGTTCAAATAAATATATATATATATATAAATGGTAAAACCAACCCACTAAATTCATATAGTCTCCAATTCAGCGCTGCGAAAGTACATAATCTTCCAGATACCACAAACCAAAATTAAATCCTGCTATTCAGCTCACAGCCAAACATACAACTTTAGCACAATTTACTATTGATTTCACTGTAAGAGAGCTCGGAAAACAGACTATTATATTATTCACTGTTTTGGTGACTAATTATGCCACGTTATTTATAGCTATTTAGAATCAGCCAGAATTAAGATTGTCCTAGCTATTCTTTGTCAAGCTAACACAGAAGTTAGGAAGTTCAATTACAAACTCCAGCTATTGATGAAATTACAGAATTTTTCTCCCTCCTTTGCTAATGAAACAAAAAACCCAAAGAAATCACTTTCTAACATTTGAAAGGCTAATAATCATAACCATAATTATAAACATAATAATTCAATTTGGAGACTCCTGTCTCCACAGCATCTCTGGATGGGTTACAATTCACAGGTTAAAAAGAAAAAGAAAAAAAAATACAAACAACCATCTTTAGATACTATAACTAGAATTTTGGTCAGAATTCATTAAGTTTAGAATATCCCCCAAAACACACACAAAGCACTTAGCTAACTTTAATATTAATGTAGCATCTTGCAAATCAATAAAAGAACCAAGCCTAAACTGTTTCAGGAAAACGACTAAAGTTCTCCTAGTTACATTTTCTTTCTGCCTCACTTAACATATAACGTTTTATATTACAGATAGAAAAAATATTTGCTTTCAATTCAGTGCAAAAAAAAAAAAGCTGCAAACTTTTTCTGCTCCCCGTGCAAAACTGGTGATGCCACATATATCAGCTTGCCGTCTTTTGTACAAGTGGCTCTGCAAAGCAAAAGAGGCATATTTATAGGGCACAGCCTCTCTGCTAAGCCAATCAGAATTCCTGAGGTACTGGGAGTTGTTCACTACATAGAAAAGGGTGTGTTCTGTGCATGTGGTATCAGCAAAAAGTGGACACATCATACTCCTCTTTTTCAATTTCAAAGGACATGACCTCAGACCAGGCAAGGAAATTTAAAGAAAATACATTACAGGACTGCTGTTTTTCTTTGGACCAGGGGCGCTGAGTTGTATTTTTCCTTTCCCTAATCAGGGAGGTTGAATGAACTCAGCATGATCATTATGAGAACTGCAGTTACAGAACGACATGGGGATGATGTGATTTCAAAGTGCAGTTTAGACGAATGTGCGTACTTAAATTTATATCCAAAAATTCATTTTGCACCCAAAAATGTTTCAAAAGAAATCACCCTATGAAACTTGGTCTAATTGGCACAAGAAAAGGTGAATCACCAGTGATGCGAGTTTCCTACAGAAAAATAAAGCATTGGAAAATTTTCCATTTTGGAAAATACTTTTCTGTACCACCAGCTGTAATCAAGGCACATGTTCAAAGCCATATGGGCTATTAGTGCAAATGTATTTTAAATTCAGAAACACGATAAACCCTCAAATACTGCTGGTTTCTAGTTGTTTGGACAAAGCATCACCGTGTGAATGAATTAATGGTGTTAATGTAGCTGATATCAGTGGAAGAGGCCCTTTTATTTAGAGTACTATTAATACGGCACTCAAAAAACACAAAATATCATATCAGACTTATGTAAGCCCGTGTTACTGGCAGCTAATAAATTAATATCATGCTACCATGTGACACATTACTAGCATAACAAAATAACCAGAAACACCTGTTCTGTAGGAGAATAAAAAACATGTTTATATAAATCAGATACTGCCACCTTTCAGTATCAATAGAACTATTTATAGAAAGTTAATAATCCTTAAAAAAAATGATAAAGAACATTGTGGCTTTGAGGTTTTAGAACAGAAAGTACAGTATAAGGCTGCACAAACACATTAAATAGTTTTATTACAAATAGAAACTAAAATGAATAAACTTCTTCAGCATGACAGGACTGTTCACGTTATACGTGGTCACTCAAGGGCAGACTTAGCTGTTTGTCATATCTTAGAAAAAAGACTTAATAATGCCTCTGGAGCATCATGCTAGTTTCTCCTCAAAGGTTGCCTCCTCTTTGGACATTGGGCATAGAGCTTCTGTTTGTAGTAAGGGAAGACCATTTTTAGCAGAAAGCTAATAAAGAGCCCAGTTAGGAATATACTGGTTTCTTTCGAAATCAAAGCAGCAGTGTTAAGCATATTTTTTAACCAATTGTAATTATTAGAGTTATTATTATAGTTCCAAAATTATACAGTATCTGTATTATGTATTAACCTAACAAGGTCTTCAATATCTTTTTTATAGCTAACAAGGCTATTTTGGATTCCTTCTATAGAGAAAAGCAAATTATTGCCAAATCCTACTTAATTAGGCTCTCCAGATATAAGAAAATATTGCACCATGAAAGGCCAGAACTGATAATTTGGTCAGTGGTACCCTATTCCAGACTACAGTAATACCTCGGGTCATGAACGCTTCTGTTCACGAACAATTCGGTTCACAAACAGCACCGTTCGCAGAATTTTGCTTCCGTTCGTGAACTCCGCATCAGGTGACGAACAGGATCCGCGGCCATTTTCCCTGCTGATACACGTGGTCGCTGATTCCTGATGTG